TTCGCGATATTTTTAATTTTATTTAATTTAAACTACAAAAACAAATTAATCGCCCCGACAGCGCCAGTCTAATGCATGCCCACACGACCATGAAACATCACATCACTAGATTCAACACATAGCAACCATACTATTCATTGCATGCATAAACCGCTTGTGTTTACTGATCAACCTGAAAGAAGAAGATTTACATGGGTATGCATGCTTGTGTAATGGAACGATATTGTATATTTGAGGAAAGCAGCAATATTTCTCCGATTTTAAAATTGTAGAAGATGAATAAATTGAAGGTTAAACAATTCCACAATTTAAAAAATGTTTAAATTAATCTGTTTTGTGTTTTGGTATGTTGACAACCTTTGACCTGGGAAATTAATTTACATCAGTTTACACCATCAAATGATATTTCATGGTAAAATAACCAATAAGTTGGTGTGATGAACCTATTAATTTTAAATTTATGTACACTCGCTGAATTTTGAATCTCTATAATACATTCAATTTGATATGTATCAGCATGTGAATATTAAAGATAAATATAAAAAATGTAAAAATTTGCAAATTAAGTTACCTTTAAACAACTCATGTTTTTTCTTTCTTCCAACATTTCACATATTTTTAAGCATTTTTCTACCACTTCCTTGTTAGTTTTGACCGAAATGGACATAACTGTCTTCCCTACACGTTTTGGAATAAATTTTGCATGTTTATTTTGTGAAAATTGACCTTGGAATGTGTAATAATAAACTTTTTAGCAAATAAAATTGACATCAGTTGAGAAAAGGTTATATAAACAATTTACACTGACTACACAGCACAGCGAGTTTTGCGAAAAGGATACAGATAGCTACCGTCTCGTTGAAATCATACAGATACATACCAGAAACGATGAGCCAGTCGAAATACAAAGAATAAAGCACGTGCTTTAGTTTCTTATATTGTTTGTGAAAGAAGGTGTCCTGACCATCAGCAGGGGTTGTAATGAACCTAGCGGGAAATGGATGCTCCATTGTCTTGATACTCAGTACTGTGTTGCGTGTATGTGGATCAGACATTAATAGTTGAGAACATGGTTTAAATATTCACAGTTGTTGGATTATCTACTATTTATTTTTTACACTGATGCTGTGAGTTATGTGGTTGTCAACGGAACGCAGATAAAATAGTGACATCCCCTTGATTTCAAACCTATGTGCTCTTTGATTAAACTCAAAAACACTATAATAGTACTCTTATTGCAGCTATATGAACATAAATTGGTACAAATAATTTCTCATCAGAGGGTCAACCATTTGAATCTGTCAAGATGGAGATTGTAGAATAAACTTTCCTTCATTTGGTTTTACAAATTATTCTGCATAGCTATCATAAGTTTTTTTACTTTTTTGATAAATGACACTTTTGATAAATATTCCAGTAGTACGCAAGAGAAGTTTATATGTGCATATTTATTCTTTCTAAATCCCCCTCAAAGTCGTATAATGGTCACACCCCTACCAGTACTACATGTACATTTCATAACATTTTTTGAGATATATCTATACATTTGTCATTCAATTTACATGTATATATACATATGTGTGATGATATATTGTAGCAGTATTGAAACTAAAATCAAATTATCCTAATTTTGACTTTGACAATGGAGAGTACTGTGATGATGCCAGAAATGTGCAAACTTTGATATTTTCTGAGTGTTCCTAATTTTATGAGAGTCAATGCAACTCTCTATAACGACAATGTTGGTGTCATTTGAGACGAACGTTTATATTTTTATTTTATTTTGATGTCTTGTTAACATTTTGTCACAATGATTCTTATTTTTTCTGCCTCGTTTCTTAAATTAGTAATATATACAAATATAAGGGAAGATCTTTATATTTGGGGGGGGGGTCTGTTTTATAAAATGGTATAAAATTCACAAAGCATACAGCATGCACAATTCAGTTCTATTTAACACAAATTTTATTTTTCAAACAGATCAATCCAAAATACTGCTTTGGTTAGAAAGTATGATTTTAATAATAATTTAACAAGAATTATTATCGCACATGTTCAAATCTAATGTTAGAAGGCAGTGGTAGTCAACACCACATACACTCGATATTGGTCACATACTATGTAAAATGTAAATACATTCAAACACACCATCATCTAAGATACAGGGATTTCAATGCATTTATTCAGTGTTGATTCCAGAGTGTGTACCTCTAACACTCGCATTACGCAATGAGAACTCCATGAAAAAAATTGAATGACACATATAAAATTTTCATTGATATTTTAACAGTAATTTAAATCTTATTTTGGCTTTGTCTTTTCAAATCTACATTCTGAAATGTACAAAACCTAATATTTGAAGTGACAGGGACATTCAATGGGTTTTTAATTCACTATGAAGGATTGGGTTTAAGCATATATAGCTACAAGTGGGAATACACTCCAGCTAATATTTGAGCACTACACAGTCAGTATGCATTATATTTCTCAAACATTTATTCTAATTTGCATACAATCATGAATTTTCCAAAATACAGCTAAAGTTTGCCCGCCGCCCCCAAAAAACAACATGTCGACCTAATACACAGTACACCCTTCCTACATGTTGCGCAAACCAAACACTTCTGTGACGAATCGGTAAAAGATGGGTCGTTCACAGCATGTTTTGATTACTAGTGTCCAACAATAAATGTTTTTGCAAAGTATTGAACACCAACACAACCAAATGTCTTTACTGTTACATCGCTTACATCTACGTCATTTCCACATCACAGAAGCACTTCGCCACTAGAGGGCGCTAGTTATAGGAAAGGTGTATTGAGCTGAATTTCAATCTATGGGCATCCTAAACACTATACTCCATTTTCAAAGTTGAATAAACAACCAAAAATTGCATTTGGGGAGGGTAGAAAATCCTCTTCTTATCCTGATACAAAGAAATTATGTTATGGCTCCTGTTAACATGTAAATAACACTCAGCATAAGCATAAAAACAAAAGTAATCTAAGAGGAGAACACCGAGGGCAGTCTATTAGCACCAAAATCGATTTATTCAACTTTATCCTATGGTATTGTTAATCGTGCAACATCTAGCACTACTTGTGGTTTTCTTTTATGGCAATTTAGACATTTTACGCATCATGAAAGGTGGGTGAAGCACTCTACTGTGGATGAATGGAATGTTTGACAATGTCTGACTGCAGTGGTGATTTGTCCAATCACACTATGAAATGGATTCAGTCCAGGTGATACACTTAAAAAGCAGTTGTGAGATTCTCCATCTAGAGCAGCTACATCCAGTCAAGCCACTCCAACATCATGTAGACATGAGGCGGTGCAAATAAATAGGTGGTGTAGAGAGACATGACAATCACTGAACAGAACAGAGTATCTGGTGAAATGGTGGTTAAGGTCACATGACAATGGATCTTGTGTACAATGATACAGTGTCTGATTTGTGATGTGACAAGTGGCATAAACCAATTGTAGGTGACGTGATATTGATATACATATTCAAACAACAAATATTGCTTCAAATCATGTAGGAAAATCTAAAAAAAGTAATTTGTTTCATGCATTTCATGGAAACAACAGTTCCCCTCACCACTCTCACCAATGTTTATATACCATACTTTAGGCAATTACTTTACAAACGCGCAGCCCCCAAGTTTGATACAATAAAGAAATTGAGTTTATGTCCAGGCATATTGCCCACAGGGTCTTTTTCTACACTTGTAATAAATAAAAAAAAAAACGATTTTTTGTTCGTTGTATTAACAGTTGACTTGCAGTCTGTTGTGGTTCTGATAAAAAAATTCTTAAATTCTTAATTCTTAAAAAATAAACTACGGACAACTACAGTAGTAGGCTATCAACAGTCCTCGGACCTAATGTAATTGTGTTTCCTTGCCATTCGAACACCGAAGGCATTTGATTGAAAATGCGAACCATTTCACGCAAGGGACTTTAGTCCCAAGAGACTGTCCTCGTCTGCATGTTTATGCATCATGCCATGTATATTATTTTCATATACTCAAGACTGTCGATAACTACTACATTTTCTAAAATTGATGCAATCACGTACAAAACCTATTACAGCAAGTCTCAGAGGTATTGGGGCAGCCAATTTGCAAACTCGCTAGCAAATTGGCTAACTGCTTGTGTTTTGACTAAACAGTTGGGTTTCGAATTTCACCGGTGCACGACATGTGGTCGCGTCCACTCTTGGCGAGTCTATATTACATTAGGGGACATAGAATGTTTTTACATAGCCTGGTACATTTCTGGATTCCTCAGAATGATTTGCTTTGTTACACAAGGCATGATAATGTGAAAGTAGTTTCCCTGGTCTGCCTGAGACCACAGTCAGCTGGCGTACAAGTGATAATATGATAAATGAGATTAACCCACCGATATTTACTATATGGGGTAACCATCTTGAACACTGTTTGAAACTAAATAAAGAGAAAAGTTGAGAAACAGTTTTCTACAAATCAGAAAACAACAAACTTTCACATCCAAACGATCTGTTGGGGCAACGTTAAGTCAATCCCAAAAAAATTGATTTCATTCAGCTTTTTCGTGGACAATCAATCATTTGTATACGAACACCTCATTACATGAAGAACATAGAACACTTTTCCTGTATATTTGAAAGCAAAATAGATATCCAACTGTAAGAACATTGTCGCTGATTAGCTCCTAAAGTATACCGACTGTTCCCTACTGTTATATAAATTCGCCCAGAGTGGGTGTGACTACTGTACAAGACAGCGGCAGCGGCAGCGAAATTCAAAAGCTAACCGGTCAGTCAAAACCCAAGTAGTTAGCCAATTCGCTAGCGAGTTTGCAAATTGGCTGCCCCAATACTTCTGGACTTGCTGTAAAAAGTTAGCATTTACAAACCCAAGTATGTATTACCTGCTGAATATGGGCATTTGAACTCTAGCACTGAAGATCGTTTGTCAAACATTGGGAGAGGAAACGCTTTCCTTGCATAGGGAACAAATGAACATTTTCACTATGATATTTGTATAATGTGCCTCTCAGATGATTTACATGAATTTTAGTCCCCAAAACAATCTCAAACATCATCAGTTAACAAAATCTAGGACTGCCATCTTGAACAAACGTTTTCCCGAGAGCAATTGTCTTTTAATACAAGTGACAACATTCAATATATGCTCCACTGGGTCACAAAATGTTCCTATCCAAATAAAGTATCAAATTTGCATGATAATGGAGGCATGAAAGGCATGTAATTTGGTTCACGTGCTTCATAAATAACACATTTAAGAAAAGCTCCATTTAATTATTAGGCTACTTATAACTTTGATAAATTTACATTCAATCTCACTCGTATATATTAAAGTGCGGTGATCGTCGCACAGCACATGTTTGAATTTCATGTAAATAAACAATGTATTTTACACGCGTTGTATATGTCGCTATGAGTCCCATATCGAACAGGACGCGGCATGACGACTGCCATCCTTTAAGGCAAATGGCTTAAATTAAAGTTAAAAATGCAAAATCCATGAAATGAACAATTTCATATGTATGGGAAGAACTAAACGTATGCATGTTTAAAGGCAGATGGTTGTCACAATACACATGTTCGGATGTGGGTCCCATACTACCCATAGCAACAAAATATAAATGTGACGATCATCACATTTTAAGGTTGTTGGTCAATAATGACAATCTCATACAATGTTTAAAAGTTAGCTATTCCATTGTTAAGAATCGGCCTAGATCCTTAGAATTGGTTAACAAAGTGTGCAAAATGCATTTGGAAAGAATTAATATTATATTCATGAAAATCAATAAGAGTACATCTAGGGACATTGTTCTAAAAATGAACTGACAATGAGACTCTGTACTACTTCCTGTGATATGCAAACATACAAGATTAGCGTGAATCTTAGCTTGTACTTGATGTATCCTGAACACGACTAAGAAAGGGTTCCACTTTTAGACAAACGAGTGTTCACATAGCAGTGCAATTTTGTTTCAAAACAGGTACATATTAATTAAGAGAGATTCGCCATCGAGTTAACTGCCATGCTTAGGGCTTCATTTTTTTTCA